CCACAACGCCCGGCTATTTTTTGGTTGCAGCCGTCATTGTTGTTTTGGCAGTTCTGGGCTGGGGATTCGAACCTCCCACCTTAGGTGTACGTGGCTGGCGCCTTAGCCGGTTGAGCTATAGGCGCCAAGCCCAGTTTTTCTTTTTTTGTTGTTTTTTTGAGATGCAGTCTTACTATGTCACACTCAGTAGAGCATGAGACGATTTAATCCCATAGCTATTGCCAATGCTGGGCATTGTCCTTGAGGAAAAACATATGTATATACATGTGCCCATATACAAATATGGTAAACAGTGTAGTTCTTTAATCATTAGTGAAATTAAACATTTTCATATTTGTGTATTTAAATTTGCTGGTTCAAATGACCCCTTCCCTGTCATTACGAAAGTGGTTAGTGAGCCCATGTTTGCGCCCCAGCCTCTCCTCTCTCTGAACTGAGGACCCCCGTGTTTCTGGCCTGAGCTCTCTTCCCCCAGGGTTCTCCATGTCTCACGCTTAGCCTCCAGGATGATTCCTGGGGCTCCCAGAGCTGCTTGGAAGGGTGCCTGAAGGCCAGGACTTAGCCTTCCCAGAGGCCACTCCTCATCCTCCCAGCTGCTCCCAGGGAGACCTTGGTGCTCCTAAAGCTGATGGGTGCTGCTGTCGGGCAGAGGACATGGTTAAGCCCGGAGAGGGCAGAGGACAAGCTTGACCACTGTCTTCTCTCCCAGGGTCCCTGTGAAGGAAGTGCTCCCTGGCATCATTAAGCAGGGGGTTAATTGCTTGGAATCCCAGGGCCAGAACACAGCTGGTGACTTCCTGCTTGGAATGGGGATCTGCAGAGGGTCTGCCAAGAATCCCCAGCCAGCCCAGGTAAACTGCTGAGGGGTTTGGGTCAGGACTGGGAGAGGGCAAGAGTGGGGGACACTGTGTGGGAGAGGGGACAGTCCCTCTGCTCACCCTTGTCCTCTGTCTATACCCACCACAAACCCACTTTCCCAGGGCCCCTAATGCTTTGTTCCTGCCACACTGTCACCCCCTTTCCAGCCTATCTCACAGGAAACTTCTGTCCATCACTTGCTTTCTCCTTGCGGAAGGAGGAATGCTGCCCAGGCAGCTCCCAGTCTGGGAGACACAGCTGTGGTCAGCTGGTATGACGGATGGCAGGGTATCTGTGACATCTGTGTGCACAAAGGTGCAGGACAGGCGTGTTACCCAGACACCTGGCCTAGAGCAGGTCATGGAGACTCCAGTATGGACCAGCTCCCGGCTGCCCATGTCCTGTGTCCTATTGTTCTCCTCTTCCCCCAGTGTCCCTTGGTACATCCTTGACTGCCCTCTGGCCAGCTCTAGCTAAGCTCTCTCACCCCAACATTTTATGATGAAAAGTTTCAGACATGTAGGAAATTAAAAGTGATGTATAGTGAATACCCATACACGCACCCTAGCTTCTATAATTATTTGTAGAAAATTCTACAAACATATATAGTATATTTGCTCTGTCACCATCTACTTGTCTATCCATTCATTGCTGTCCTTTTTGACCTGGTCTTTCTGGTCCCTGTGTGGCAGGCGTGGCTGTTCAGTGACCATCTCATTCAGCAGCAGGGGAAGTGCCTGGCTGCCACGTCCACCTTAATGTCCTCCCCGGGGTCCCCGGTGATACTGCAGATGTGCAACCCAAGAGAAGGCAAGCAGGTAAGCCTTCTTGCCCTGGGCACAGGTGGTCTGCAGCCCGGGGAGCATGCCGTGGGGGTGGCAGACCCTGGCAAGAGCCCCAGGTTTAGACATACAGGCTCAAACAAGCCCTCCAGCGGGAGGTCAGTACTTCTTCAGGTAAGTGTTTGTATTAAACGATACAAACAATACACCTGCCAGGCCTTGAGTTCCATGAAGGCAGGGACTGTTTGCCAGTCCCTGCTGTATCTCTAGCCCGTGACAACCACCATAGTGCAAAGAAGTGGCAGCTTTTACCAAGAGATTGTACTGGGAGTTTTAAATAGATCATCTTATCTAATCGCCCTGGCCACCTAGTGATATAGGCCTTAGTAATATACCCATTTTAAAAATGAGTAAACTAAGGCTTGCTGAATATACTGTATGTCAGATCACACATTTGGGAAGGGATAGAGCTGGAATTCAAATCCAGGTCAGTGTGGTTCCTAGGCCCACATTCTTAACCCGACACATAGTAGATGCCCAATAACTGTTTCTTGGAATGATACAGTGGTTTACGCCCATAATCCTAGGACTTTGGTAGGCTGAGGGGGGAGGATCACTTGAGCTCAGGAGTATGAGACTAGCCTGGGAAACACAGCAAGACCCTGTTTCTACTAAAAAAAAAGAAAAATTGGCAGTGCCTGTGGCTCAAAGGAGTAGGGTGCTGGTCCCATATGCCAGAGGTGGCGGGTTCAAACCCAGCCCCGGCCAAAAAATGCAAAAAAAAAAAAAAAAGAAAGAAAGAAAGAAAAATTAGCGGAGCATGGTGGTACACACCTGTAGTCCCAGCTACTCAGAGCCTGGGAGTTTGAGGTTGAAGTGAGGTGGGATCATGCCACTCACTACACTCCAGCCTGGGCAACAGAGCAAGAACTTGTCTCTAAAAAAAAAAAGTATTTCTTGACTGCTGGCCAACTGGGGAAACTGAGACCTAGGTACAGTGATGTCTAAGGCCCATGACCAGCCCCACATGAGCTCTGCCTTTTTCATTTGCCCAGCACTCTCATCTAGCGTCCCCATTAGTCCTGAGAGATAGGTCAGGCCACCCTGTTGAGGAAGAATGCTCAGGAGATGAAGTCAGTGCTGTGCTCAGTGTCCACAGCAGCCAGTGATAGAAAGGAACTAGATACTGGATTCCCTTATATGCAGCTCCCCTCCTCTGCTGCCCAGGAAATGGGACCCACAAGCCAGAGACTTTTCCAGCCCTTCCCCTGTTACCCTTCTTGGCCGCCCTCCCTGTGCCTGAGCCTAGCCAGCCTAACTTTGGTGCCTGGGAATGTGCAGGAGGGTGTCTGGCTCTCTGCTTTGCGGCAGGGAGGTTTCCCTCTCACCTGCTTTCTGTTTGCCTGGGTCAGCTGTTTTGAGATGAGTGACAGTTTGCTATTATGTTCAGGAAAACGTCCAGTTCCTCTCCCTCCAGCAGGCGTGTATGCACACATGTGTGTCTGAAGGACCGATATGCCCTGGCCTGCTGGACACTTCTGAAGCACTTTCTTTTTTTTTTTGGCCAGGGTTGGGTTTGAACCCACCACCTCCAGCATATGGGGCCAGCACCCTACTCCTCTGAGCCACAGGCGCTGCCCCTAAAGCACTTTCTGATCAAAAGGGTACAATCCTTCCTTGGCCCTACCCTGCAGGAGGGCCAGTGCAGTCTTCCCTCCAGCTAGAGCACCCACCTCTCTAGGGGTGGCCTTAAGCTCATGCCCACTCTTCCCTATTGAGGAAACATTCCCAGGCAGCTTCTACTCAGATACCTCTCTGGGGTCCAGTTGTCCATTTCCCCCTTTGTGCCAGCTTAGCCTACCACTCTGGCCCCATGCATTCCACCCCTGCAAGTCCTGCCAGGCTCCTGATGGCACTGTGGGCCCCTGCGTCCCTCCCCTCCTGGGAGGACAGAGTGAGCAGCTCTCCCCCCTGACAATGCCTTTTGGAATCTGGGCCTCCATGTTGTCAAGGCCAGTTGGGTTCCCTGTATCCAAGAGGCTCCTGTGTGCTAGACCAGGTGTGACAGGTCAGCAGGTCCCAGCTCAGTCATTACTTACCCTCTTGGAGCCTCAGTCTCCTTATTTTTGAAATGAGGGGCTCCCTCCCCTGCCCTGTCTTTTAGAGAAGCTGTAAGAACCAGTATGTGGAGATGGGAGAGCATGTGACATGATTTTGTTTCTCAGGCCAGACCCAGAATTGAGTGGCTAGGAGAGTCCGGGGCCCTAAGACTATGCCTGACAGTACTGGTAGGAAGTGAGAATCCTGCAGCTTGAGAAGCATCTCATAATGATTGAGTGATTCATTCATTAATCATAAAACAACTTTATTGGGTGCCTAACTTGTGCCAGAAAATGTGCAAATCACATTGGCCACAAAAACGAAGGGAAGACATGGTCCCTGACCCCCAAGGAACTTATGGGGAGAAAGAGCAGGGAGTCAGCCACTGCCTGTGGAGGGCTAGATGCAGGGGCAGCACCGAGCATGGTTGGCGCAGCCCTGGGGCAGGCCCTGCAACACAGATGTGGAGGCCCATAGTGGAGGTCAGTAGGCCCTTCCAGGGTAAGCACAGCCACTCTCCCCAGCTAGGCTTTGCTGGACATTTGGCCTATATCAGGTAAATGTCAGGGACTAAAAAGCATGAAGAAACAGGATGCTGTGAGCTTCAGGGAGCCAAAAGCTTTTGACTTTTAGGCTCTCTG